CATTAAATGAAAAGGTAAAAGTAATGAAGAAGAAAGAAAAGTATAAGAATACATTTTAATATGTGCGAAAATCTCATTAGTTATTAAAAAGAAAAATTATTGTTGAATATGTGGACGATAGATAAAAAAAAAAAAAAAAGTTGAATTTAAATTATTTTATTTTAAACGTTCTATATATTGTATTATAATCTAAGAAGATTTCTTATAAGAAATAATCAAAAATTCGAATATAGTTTTTTGATCATGTATTTGTTTCGATATCGTCGATAACGATAATATAAATCTAAAAAGACAAATAGATTATTGAAGCGATACAGAAAAAGAAAAGAAAAAAAAAAAAAAAAAAAAAAAAGAAAAAAAACAAGTAACAAAGTAACACGAATGCTATGTTATTATTATATAAACAGATTTATAAAAATAACAGTAATTGCTTTGATGAATTTTACTCATTATTTATATCAGAATTTACATTGTAGGGTATTAATTAATTAATTACGTGTGTATATTAACCGAATTTTTGTGACAAATTTTACATCGATAATAGAATGAAAGAATGAATAGTCGTCAAAAAATATCTCAAGTATTCGAAAGTATTCTTGAGTAAGGATAAAACGAAACGAAACGAAAAAGACAAAAAGAAAAGAAAAGAAAAGAAAAAAAAAGAGAAACAATTTATATACATTTCATTTGTACCTCTTCTCACAAAAATAGTACAATAACTCTTAACGTTTAAGTAGTATCATTTAACCGAGTATTCTCTTGTAGATCAAGAGTCATTTTTATTTTTAAATTAGATTTAAAGATAATTCTTTCGCATAATTTGCACAAGATTTATTACCAGATATTTTAACAATGTATATTTGTGTAAGATTTTTTTTTTTTTTGGTTTGTTATATACTAATGAAATTAACTTAGCAATAACAATAGGCGATACTATATAATTTTAAGTTTATGTGCAAATACGAGAAATGCTGCAATTTTTATCAAATCTTTTAAAAAGAGATGTTTTACAATTATTAAAAAAAAAACAAAAAAAAACAAAAAAGAATCAATTGAGTATACGAATCAGTTGAATATTAATCAGAGTTAAATAAAATCTGTTGATTTAAAGTTGATTTATAATATTTTAAGAAAAATGAAATATATAATATTTTATATTTCATTTAGATTTTTTAATTGACAAGTAATATAAGAAAAGAAAAAGAAACAAATTAATGATATGTCCCTGTTAATGGTTTTACCTTTTCGTCGCCTTTTGACAAACAGGGATTACTGTGAGGGGATATTATTACTCACCCTCTCCACGGGGTTTATTCTTATTAATATTATTATTATTATTATTATTATTATTATTATTATTATTATTATTATTATTATTATTATTATTATTATTAATATATCTCGATGTTTATGGAGAATTATTTATTTGTTGATCTATACTCGTTTTGTCATTAGGATAAGAAAATAATGAATAATAGAAGAATAATAGAGAATTGAAACCAGTAATTATTAATTATGGGGCCAATAACAAATGTAACGCACAATTAATTTTTCTAAATACCAAGTTATCTATATCTCAGTCTTCTGTGTAACGAAATAGATATTAATACGATCGATGTAACACACATGGTATTTTTTATAACAATATAATGTATTTGATATAATCTCTTACAAATATTTAGAAACAGTGAAAGCAAAGAAGAAACATGTAATCGTTCGTCAAGTTTTTTCCAAAAAAACAAAAAAGTATATTTTGTACTTAACTTAAACAAACAATTACCTGTCGATATCACGTGAAATGTGCTCTGTAATTCATGATAAACATTATTGTCATACGTTTATCTTTGTTGTGTATAATACTATTGAAAATAATTCAATTTCCCCGCCATTCTTTTTCCCGCCATTTTGTTTTGAACGTTCACTGTACATGCGTCAATTTGTAATCAAGAAGTCATTAGAATTTATTTATTTTTTAATTTGTCACGATAACTTTTATATTTAATAATTAACGATTATCACCAACATTTTCTTGTAATAGATTTATTTTATTAAAATATATGTACATGATTAATCGACCACACTAACATTAATGAGAAAATAATTAACGGTAATATAATTACGATAATTAAATGAATATCTTTTTATTTGTATTATTTATTTCAATCTTGTGTTAATAGATAAGAACATACTTTGTTAATTTTAACAACGTAATAATATTGAAAAAAAGCAATAACTATTATAAATCAATTTAAAGGGCGTTAATTCTCACTGAAAAGACGCACGAGTTTTTACAAATTTTCAAATCTTCAGATTAATTGAAAAATACAAGAGATAAGAGTGATTTTTTAATCATATCTAAAAATATAATACTAAATCATATTTCTTTATCGTCACGTTTGACTTTTAATAATTTATTTCCTTGCAAAAACAACATAATTATATCGATGGCGATTAATGGCATACACATGCAAACACGTTCAAATATTTTTCTTTGCTTGAAATGAATAAATATCTAAACAACATTCTAAACAAAATTATTATGATTCTTCGCGTGACACAAATATTTGTCAAATTACAGGATTTTCATGAAAAATCAAAAGTATGTTAATAAAACAAAAAAATAAAAATGATATAACACAACATAAAGATTAATATCATATAACGTGACATAACGTTTAAAAGTCGTCCTGTTTGAAATCGATTATCGAGATCATCGGTCCATGGGAAAACCCAGTAATGATTACTGCTCTACCTGATGCTACGGAACATTCACCCTAATTTAGCCGAGGTACGATCGAAGAAGAGCAGCAAGGTGGTCAGACGGGATTCCCACCGTAGCTATTCTTGACCAGACCAGGCTAATATTGAATCTGCTCAATTACTTCCAGCTACGTTACTACACGTTCAATGTATAGCTATAAGTATAAATATCATCTCATCGATATCTCTCTCTCTCTCTATCATTTTTTTTCTTCTTTTACATTATCTCTCGAAAGTAGTCGTATAGAAGAAGAGGCCGATGATCATTTTTATTTCTCCTACTTCTTCTATCCCTTCCTTTTCTTTCTCTATCTCTCACCTTACATATATATATATATTTATAGAATTATATATGCAATTTTATGCGTATATTTATAAATGGACTACGGTACAAGTATATACACGTATACACGTGTATATTTACATATGTGTTCCATTCTTTTTTTTTATACTTATTCAGAATTCCCAGTAAAAACCATGTTTCCATAGTTTACTCGATTACTTCTACACACGCCCTCTCTCCCCCAGGCCCCTCCCTCCCCCCCGGATATATTATCGTTACGCGATGCGGCCTTCGCCAAGGCCCAAGCAAGCAACTAATCCTTTGTTTGCAAAGATATTCCGAGCCAAGAAAACCAGTTCTTCTTTTACTACTGCACTTCAACGACTATGAACATTAGAGAGGTGTACGTATAGGTATACGCATATGTTGTTACTTGTTGTTGTTGTTATTATTCCTTTTGTTGAAGAGACACTGATCGTTATGTGTTGTAAATGGCCAAACGAAAACCGGGAAACGATAAAATCCCTCGTAATCATGATTATTACGAGAGGAGTTGGATGAGGGTGAGAAGAAAGGAAGAAAGGAAGAAAGGAAGGAAGGAAGGAAGACAAATAAAAAAGATAAAAGAAGTTAGGAGGCGAGAAAAATGCAAAAGAGGAAAAAAGATTGGGGAGGGAGGTAGGTAGGTAGGTAGGTTGGTACGAGTCGAGGGGGTAGCTGGGGGAGAGGAAAGGGGTTGGGGGGGAAAAAAAAGGTCGGTAGGCGCCGTGTCTCGAAGATGTTAAAGGGTGGAAGACCTGCTTGTTGCGAACGAACAGGAGAGAAAGAACGGACGTTCCTTCGAGTGCAAATTTATGAAGGAGGAATATCCGATTATCTGAACTCCAGAGAAATATAAGGGAAGAAAAAATTGTCTAAACGTTCATTTTATTCGTTGGACGACCAATCTTATCCATAATTTTTTTTTTTTTTTTTTTTATTTAAACCACGATATGTTTAACCACTTGTCTATAAGATAGAACGAAATATTATTAACGTGAGAAAAATTGATATCGAAGTTTTTCATTAAAAAAAAAAAAAAGAAAAAAAAAGAAATAAAGAAGGGACGGTTCATTTATCTTATTGTTAATGTTTTATTCATATTTATTATTTTATTTGTTCTCTCGTACTGTGTGTATATGTAGTATGTACTTACTACTACCTTTATTGTTTAGATGCGATACACACACTCTGCGAACGATCAAGGTCACGCTGCTGCTTTTTACTTCTTCACCAAGTGGAGAAGAAGGGAGAAGATGGTGCACGAAGAGGAAGAGGAATAAAAGGACGAAGAGAAGAGAAAGAAGATACCGGGGGATAAAAATAGCCACACTCGGTGAAAAATAAAAAGTAACTGACTGAGATGACCACCGGCCGATGGATGTATGTAGAATAAAAAGAAGAAGAGTAACCAGGAGGAAAAGGAGAAGGAGGAAGGAAGAAGAAGAAGAAGAAGAAGAAGAGAACGAAGAGGAGAATGAACGGACGAACGAACGGGTCGAAATAAAAAGAATAGAAGTATATCAAAAACAAGGACCGCAAAAGGGGGCCCTACGAGATTGAAGATGGTACAGAAAAATGAGAAGAGTGAGAAAGGAAAAAAGGGGTCGGTTGGGGGCAGAGGGGAGGGAGTTGATCCTCATGCTATTTTTGTACACTAGGATAATGTATACCTCCCTTCCTTTCACCCTACAAAAGGTGCTTATTTTTTTGCTTAAACTTGCGCCACAATAAATATGAAAAAAGAAACGAAGAAAAAAAAATCTACATAAAAGAAGAAGAAGAAGAAAACGTGCATATGAGAGTTCAGTGGTCGTGGTCCAAAAAAGAAAAAAAGAAAAAGGGACTCGGAGGAATGATCTTGTAGCAAGTATCAGCACCCTTATGTTAGTTTCTTCTTCTTGGTGTTTAACTTTTGGGTATTTCATAAACGATCATCATCTCTTACGAAACCTGAGTAACTAGGCTTAGAGCTAGGTAACTAGTCAGTCAGTTACCTAGCACAAATCCCTCTTTCATTCCTCGTCTCGTTTATCTAACGTTCTCGCGTGTTAGCGGGATTCCAGAAGCACTTTTAGTCGATCGTAGGCGCCAGTAGTCAACGAGGACGGACGATCATCGTGCACGCGAGCAACAACTGCAACAAGTAAGAAGAAGTTCGCATGACAAGGATGGTATATTTCTCTGTAAATGCAGAAGAAGTAGAAGAAGAAGAAGAAGAAGAAGAAGAGGAACATCTTCCTTTTTTTCTTTCATTTTACACTTCTTCTTCTTCTTCTTCTTCTTCTTCTTCTTCTTCTTCTTCTTCTTCTTCCTTCTTATGTTATACCTTTTTTTGTTGTTTTATTGTTGTTGTCGTCGTCTCTTCTTCTTCTTCTTCTTCTTCTTCCTCTTCTTCTTCATGTTACTTCGACCGATTCTGGAGTTCAGCAGCAACGTAATGCCTGGACGACGTTAGCAATGCGACGCTGCTGTTGGCCGATGTAATGCGGCCGAGGGCAACCTTCGGCCGTTCTCAGACAGGGCCGAGGATTGAAGGAAAAAGAAGAGGGAGGCTCCGCCGGGAGAGTTGGAACGGGTTCTATCCTCCGGGCCGGGTACGCAGAGTCCAGTCGAAGACTCACGATGATAGTGAACGCCCGATGAAGAATCTTCCCCCCCGTCCAACTTGAACGAATAGACAGTCCGCGACTGCCCTGTCGAACTCGAGCGCCCCAGGTCAGTGCACGTTCCTCTATCTATCTATCTCTTTCTCATTCTATTATATAATTGATTTTTCTATGACATAATAACCCATTAATCTTAGGTACCACCCATTTTACATTCAATTTTTTTTTTAAATATTTTATCGCAATTTTTTTTTTTTGATCTTATCAAGTAATCATTTAATTTGGAAGGAATTAGAATTTGATTTAGAAAGATAACAAAAAGAAAAAAAAATAAATAAATTTTGTAACGTTTTGACGATCGAAACCAATTGGCGGGAGTTGGTAGCACAATCTTCCGGCTTTTCAATCCGCGAAAGTGATCTCTCAAGCTCATTTCGTAACTATCTAATGGTACGGTGTGTTTTCTACTAAAGGTAACACAAATTACCTGAGACATCATTGACTCTCCATCATCTCTTCTAGATAAGATTAATATGTTAACGTTATATACATGTATCTTAGCTTGTTCTTTCTTTTACCGATCGACACGCATTTTCTTCTTCTTTTTATTCTGCTTCCTCTTCTTCTTCTTCTTCGCTTCGTCTTCTTCTTCTTCTTCTTTTGAATATATATATTAGTTATTCGTAGCATAGCATTGGCGACGTGTTTACCGTGTAATTATAGACGTCCGCGGCCACGGTGCCGCCCGGCACGAAGTCCTGTCAAGGGAAAACTTTCATTTTCTATCGAACGATCTTAGCTAGGCTTAGCTAGTCTAAGTCATTTGCAAATTAACGTTGTATTTGTTTCATCTATGAAACGCTTCTAAGACACAACTCTTTGATATACACATTGATAAACACGTTCCTCTTACGTACATCTATATATATGTTTTATATCGCATACATGCGTGTACACACGTACTACGTTGATATAAAAAAAATAACAATAATAATAATAATACTTTAGTGTCTATATTGTATAGAATAAGATAAAAAGATGTTTGTAGATTCACGTTCGATGTATCTTTCTCTCTATGTATGATTATTCGTCGCATAGTAATTAATTCATTCGTCTGTTTTTAATTGTACATAGTAATTGTACGTATGAATAAAATGGAACGTATCGTTCATATATATATATATATATATATATATATATAGATGTACATCATATTATAACGTTTCGTTCTATTTATTATCTTTATCATAGTAATTTATATATTTTTTTCTTTATTTAAATCAATTTTTTGTACTCCTTCTTCTTCTTTTTTATTCACTTGTTTTTAAATTTAACGATATTATACATTTCACTGTATTACATTTTTATCGATAATTTATTAACGAAATGTTAATTTACATTTTTTTTTGTTTTTTTTTTTTTTTTCGATATGAGTTTTATCAAGTAAAAAATGTCAAATATTTGCCTGGCAACATTTTCATTAAAATTTGTTATCGAGTTCATTGATTTAGAAAGTTTTTTCGTAAATCAACGAATCGTATTTCTTCTTTTTTTTTTTTTTATTATTATTCGATAATCGATCATTCAATGATTCGTTAATCATTTATCGAATAAACGAAAACTTGTACCATTGGATAAAAATGAAATTGTTATGAAGAAAAATTTGTTAAATATTTGACTTTTTAACGATATTTTTATTAATTTGTTATTGAGTTTATTGAGTTAGAAATTTTTTTTTTTTGTGTAATTCGACGAATCACACTTCTTCTTTTTCTTCTTTCCTTTCGACTCCATAATCGATAATTTATGAATGAAACGAAAATTTGTTACTTTAGATAAAAAAACAAAAAAATGAAATTATTATCTTGAAAGAAAACAAAAGTCGTCAAATATTTGACTTTTTTTTTATCATTATTTTTCATTAATTTTGTTATCGAGTTAATTGATTTAGAAATTTTCGTATTAATCACACTTTTTTTCTTTCCTTCTTTTTTTAAATTTTTTTTTCTTTTTCTTACAATTCGATGATTTATCGAATTTACGATTAATTAAATTACTTTTGGGAAGAAGAAGAAGAAGTCAAAAACAAAATGGTTCTTTTTCAATTTTTTTTTTCTGGGTGTTCTTTTTAAATGGAATTCCATTGGTAGAGGTAGAGTAGCATATTCTTAGAAATTGGGTCCCGAGAAGTGTGCAAAAGGCCTCGGTCGTCCTCGAGGAATTATTCAATAACGGAAGAAACGCGATAGAAGAAGAAGAAGAAGAATAAGAATAAGAAAAAGAAGAAGAAGAAGTGTCTGCCCTCCGGCGTAACTGTAAAACGAAGATTCGTAAAGTGAAATAACCGTTTATATATGTATATTTATAGACTTAAATAAATCCGGTCAAAGTTTGATGTCATTTTTAAAAGGTGATAAAACGTAAGTAATCTTTCTTCCTCACGCGGACATTAAAATTTTTCATTTTTTTTTTTTTTTTTACAACGAAGAAGTTTAACTCCTTTTTTCCAATTTAAAAATGAGAAAAAATGATAGGCTAAAAAAAAAAAGAAATATAAAAAGAAAAATGTCGAAGCACAATTGTTAATTCTTGTTGTTGTTGTTGATAAGCTAAAAAAAAAAAATATAAAAATAAAAATGTGGGAAGCACAATTGTCAATTATTTTTTTGTTGATAGAATAAAATAAAAAGAGAAATGTCGAAGCACATTTGTTAATTTTTGTTGTTGTTGTTGATAGGCCAAAAAAAAAAATATAAAAAGAAAAATGTCGAAGCACAATTGTTAATTCTTTTTTCTTTTTTTGTTGATATGCCAAAAGTAAAAAAATAAAAATAAAAATAAAAATGTGGGAAGTACAATTGTCAATTATTTTTTTGTTGATATGCCAAAAGTAAAAAAATAAAAAGAAAAATAAAAATGTGGGAAGCACAATTGTCAATTATTTTTTTGTCGATAGGATAAAATAAAAAGAAAAATGTCGNTAGGATAAAATAAAAAGAAAAATGTCGAGAACAATTGTTAATTCTTTTTTCTTTTTTTGTTGATATGTCAAAAGTAAAAAAATAAAAAGAAAAATAAAAATGTGGGAAGCACAATTGTCAATTATTTTTTTGTCGATAGGATAAAATAAAAAGAGAAATGTCGAAGTACAGTTGTTAATTCTTTTTGTTGTTGTTGATAGGCTAAAAAGAAAAAAAAATAAAAAAAATAAAAAGAAAAATGTCGAGCACGTAAATTTTTGTTTACTCGTCTTTAACACGTTTATGATTAAATTATTATCATCATCATCATCATCATCATCATCATCTTCGAAAGAGATTCTAATACGTCAGTTTTCATTTAACAAGTGAATCGAGTTAAACGTGAGTTGTCAAATAACGCACGTACGTAAATTTATTTTTCTCACGTTTAAAAATGTTTCGTTGTTTTTTAGGCAATCAAAGTTATAGAAGAAGGATTAATAATTCTTTTTAAATATTTTATAGAATGTTTAAAAAAAGGGAAAAAGAAATATATATATATAATAAGAAAAAATTGTTCCTAATGATATTTTAATTAAAGTTCAAATTAAAATTATCTTCGTAAATCTAATCAATTTTTTTTTTTTTATTTATTTAATTACGTTCGTAATTCTGATCAATTTGTTTCTAATTTTGTATCCACACAATGATAGTTAAAAGATTTTATAAATCCGAGTACCATGGTTTTACTCATGATTTTTGTTTTGTCTGAATAAGGTTATTTATTTCTAAATATTACAAGTGATAAACGATCCTTACAACAATTTAAACATTAAATATATATAATAATAATAGAATTTTTGATGATCTTCTTTGGTAATAATTGTTTAGTTATAAAATAACAATTTAATAATGCAAAAGAATAAAATGAAGAAAATGAAAGAAAGAAAAAATCAATTTTATATCTTCAATTAATAATTCATGTATTATTAAATTATTAATTAATAATAAATGGTTACCCTTATAGCCAGTATTTTGGGAGGAAAAGATTTTGTTTCAATTCGAATGAATAATAATGGGGATGACAACAATTTGAACAAGAGTCCTCTCTTACTCACACAGATTCATTGACTCAAAGTGATTTTCCAAATTGGAATAGAAAAAAAAAAAAAAGAAATATTATCTATTGGTAAAAAGCAAAAAAAAAACATTTAATCTTCTTTTTACTAAACACGCTAGGATTCCCCCTTGTTTGGAACGAATATAAACCCCCCAATAATAAAGATCGTGGTCTGCTGGTGGTGGTGGTGGTGGTGATGATGGTGGTGGTTGTTGTTGTACCGGTGGTGGTATAATATCTATCTATATCTATGGTGGTGGTATATCCCAAAGAAAATCTTCTCTCAAGAGAGATAGAACCAGTTTTCATTATTTTTTGCGAATGGGGAGGAATGGGTAGATACTTAAAGGGTTCGCGGACAACTTTACCTAAGGTCTTACCTTATGGTGAAAACAGAGATAAAAGAAAAATACAAATGCGGTTTATAAATATAAATCCGAGAAAATGCGCACAGTAATTAGCGGGAACGTGTTTTTACTAAGAATAACCATAAATGGTGACAACGAAGACGACCATAGGATATTTAAGTTCTTCCCCTCTGAACTGCTCGTCCTATACCAAGGATTTTCTAGATTCTACTAGCGAATTATTTTCTTCTTGTTATTTTTATTTTATTTTGTTTTGTTTTGTTTTATCCACGTGGTATTTAAAACGTTTCAGAGATACACAACTTATATTACGTGTTAGTTTATTTTTTATTTATTTATTTAATCGATAACAAATACCATCACATATATCATATATAATACAATATAATATGAATTAATTACGTTTTTCTATTTGATCGATACCATATAGAAAAATAATTGTTTTTATATTTAATATATAATTTATAATTCTTATTTTAATGATATAATAATTTTTAATATAATATTATAATTTTTTTTATTTAATTGAAACCCCATATTATATATATACTATATATAATACAATATAATATGGATAAAGTATTTTTTTTTATTTAGTAGATATCATATATAAATAATAATTTTTAATATAATAATATAATATTTTTATTTTTTTAATCGATACCATATATAAATAATAATTTCTAATATAATAATTTAATTTTTTTATTTAATGGATACCCCAAACCATAAACCATATCTAACACAATATAATATGAATAAACTATTTTTATTATTTAATTGCTACCATATATAAATAACAATTTTCGATATAATAATATAATTTTTTTATTTAACTAAAATCCCATACTATATAAACCATATATAATACAATATAACATAAATACATTATTTTTTTTCATTTAATTAATACCATATAACATAATACAATATTATATGAATAAACATCTATAAATAAAACCAGTGATCGTAATTATTATTATTATTTTTATTATTATTATTATTATTATTATTATTATTATTATTATTATTATTATTATTATTATTATTATTATTATTATTATTGAATGGAAATTGGACACCTTGTATATATCTACATTCACTTGCGCGCATACGTGATGGAAATGATGAAAACAAGTCAATTGAGGTACGGAAAATACGTTGCTAGAAGATACGCAACTTATGTTAGTCGGATAAAATATTCTTCTAACTAACTCGCATAAGCTTTGAAAGTAGAAACGTACGGACCGTTATAGACTAAACGTGTCTGCACACAATTTGGTATATTCTACTGACTTTGCTTGTTTACTCTCTCTCTCTCTCTCTTTCTCTATTTCTAGCAGAGGTGAATTTTTCTGGCTATTTCCTTTTTTTATTTGGATAAAAGAAGCCAATATAGTGGAATGTATATAAAGTAAAGTAAGTTGAAAAAAAATCAAATAAAATAACTAAACATATATATAGATATATATATATATATATATATATAGATAGATAGAGAACCATTAAAACCAGTAAGATATGTGTGTAAATGTGTGTACGTATATCTGTGTGTTACGTTACTCCCTTTTTTGTTAAGTTTACATTTTATGTTAGCATATTTAAAAATATATTTTTGTTTGACCAATTATCGGTTATTCTCATCATCGTGTACGTCAATTTTTCTTCTTGGATAATTAATTATTTTTATTTGTTTAACAAATTCTTTTTTTTTTTTTAATATTTTTTATAATTTAAAAAATAACGTACGAATTCGGTTTATCAACGAAAAAAACGAACGAAATAGTAATAATAATCAAGAATTATTATTATTATTATTATTATTATTATTATTATTATTATTATTTGGTACGTTTTTTTCTTCCCTTCCTTTTCCTCTTCGTCTTCTTCTTGTTGTTCTTGTTGTTCTTCTTGTTCTTCTTGTTTTATTTCTTTTTCTTCTTGTAAACTATCTCTTCCTTCCTCTTCTTCTTCTTCTTCTTCTTCTTCTTCTTCTCATTCCTTTGATTTATATCGACCTTAACTTTTAAATCATTTCGTGACCATGTAGTACACCATTACGTAAATCAAATATTATTATTATTATTATTTTCTGTTTCTGTTTCTGTTTCATTTTTATTTCAATAAAGAAATGATCGATATATATATTTTTTATTATTATTATTATTATTATTATTATTGTTTTGTAGAGACAAATTCATTGATAAATTGTTTTTCATTTCATATGACTTACATTCATACATTTGATTCATACGAATTTAAGTAAAAAAAAAAAAAAAATGAAATAGTTACAAATAAATTTGTGTAATAATTTTTATTTCAATAGAGAAATGATTATTCAAGTATATATATTTATTATAATTTATATTAATATTAATATAATTATATAATTAAAAATAATATTTTAACACAATTAAATAATATTAATAATAAATAATATAATAATAAAATAATATTAATATAATTAAATAATAT